GGTAACCAATAATACATTACAATATTATTAAATAAGTACAGCATGGTTGAGTTAATGATGAGGAACCCCCTTGACTTTTGAAATGTCCTGTCTTCAGACTATGGTAACTGATTTCTCTGTCTTAACATAGCATTATAAGGTTAGCTCTTGCAACTGAGATTCACAGAACCTCGTCAAAATGTTAGTGTGCGCAAATCAAGTATTTTTACTGGGAAACCTCCTCCAGAAATAGATTATTTATGGATTAAATGAATATTGAATAAATGTAACCCATGGATTAATTAGCTAAAACTCTCTGTTAACCAGGAAGCAAGAAAGGAAACACTATCTCATTAAACATTTACATGCATGTTGTATGTGCTTGCAGGATCAAGTTACGGTTTTTCATAACACAATTGCCTTTTACTTAAAACTTGGATGCGTGTGAAAAGTTTAATGCCCACTATATTAAAACTGAACTCACAAAGTATATAGCCTCAGTCATGGGCAAAAACAGAGATAAACTGTTTACGTTCCATACACAAGTCTGACATCTACCTAAGTAATAGTTTTGGTTCAGGATTGTGCATGACTAATTTATTATCTTATGTTGAACAGACTCAGAGGTAAAAGTGCAATCCATTAATTCCCCATCCCATAATTCTAAAGGAAGACATAAACTATGCAAGACATTTTATCTTACTAGGAAAATCTACCCCATGAGCCAAGAAAAATAAAGGATTCAGAGACATGGTACTAAACAAGCGTGAAATGAATTATTAGCCACACCATGAGTATATGAAGTTTGCATGAAAACAATGGAATAATTTTGCGGTCTGTTTTTTATTGCAGTGATGGGCATGCAAAAAAAAGTGTCCTCATATGTTGATAGGAAAATATGCCCTTCCTTAGAGTAAATGCAGTTCTTCTCATTAGCCATTTAACCTTTTCATTTATTGCCATGCTTCCTGTAACAAAATTTCTTTTGTCATTAGAGAAAGACCTGCTACCAAAAATGATTGAAATAACTTGTGCTTTGAACACGTTTTATAGAGTTTCACGTTTCAAATACCACAGAGGCAACAATTCCCCTACTTGCAATATTGAGGTGGCAAAAAACTTTATTATTTTTAACCCTGGTCATTGAGTCACATTGATCCAGATGTATAAGTGTCACACACACCTTAAATTCTACTACAAATACAGGCAGCTACCTTTTAAATCCAGGTTATATATGCATAGTTCTTAAATATACTGAAGACCTGTGTGACAGGAAAGGTGACAGCCCCCAGGGGGAAATTTAACATAATGATCAAAAGGAAGACAGACTCTACCCTCTGTTGCTCATCCTAATAGAGCTGACCTTTCTTTATGTCTTGCCCTATATGATGGCAACAGCTGATGCTAGGCCATTTTGTAAAATGCTGTTCCTCTTATGATGCCACTGATATCACCTGCCAGTCTTTACTGTGTTTTTAAAATTGAATATTTCTGAGACATGTTAACTATGCCCTTTCTAATGTCCTTCACTATTGTCCTTCTGATGCTTTTTCATCTAAATACAAAAATGCATGAAATGCATGAAATGTTTCCCGTCATGCTAATGAGAAACAAAATACATATTGTTGTAGGTACCAAGGACAGGAAATCCAGGATGCCAAGTTGTTTGTCAGGTTGCTTCCTATATATTACACCAGCACCAGGTACCCCTGCAACCTTGTGGAAATTGTAAAATGCAAGTTGTAGAAACACTGACCTATCTGTCATTCTTGCACATACAGTATAACGCAAAACTCCTGTGTCTAATATGCTACTACACACAGTTTAATTGTGAGCTCAACCATGCCGTGAGAGAGTGAGTACTGTATTAATAAAAGGCCCAATCAAAAACAAAACCTGCAATCAAAAACAAAACCTGACACCCCCAGAAGTGTACAGTTTTTTTCATGCACCAAAAAATGGGGCAAAACTCTTCAATTTTACTGTGCTCTTGTCCCTGTAGTTTGCTCAGACATAAAATCCTTCTCTTGGTTGTGATGTGGGTTATTTTCTGTATGTAAAACTGACCTAGTAGTGTTACACCAAACCAAGGCAAAGATCATGTTGAAAGGCCCACCTTGACATATTAAGCCAAACCACAGATATGAACATGTTTAATCTGAAAGGGGTATCCAAGCTGCCCCTTAGCAGTTAGAGATATCACCTTGTCCTGCAGTTGTTACTGTTAAGTAAGATGGTCCTTTTGAATACAGTTAGCCTATATGTCAGGAAGAGGATATGTACACAGGCCTTGAAGACACATTGTTGAATCAAAGCAAAATGAACTTGTACTTCATCTAGAGTAGAACCACTTTACTGAATATCCTGAGGAACTTTTCAAATGTATATACTTAAGATTTGCAAGCATGACAAGTCAAACACACAGGGCCTGAGCCTGGAGCCATGTCAACTCCATTAGATGGTGAATGAATTACCAGTTAACAGCCAAGCAATCAGGACATGTTGATGCTTAAGCCAATCCTTCTTAAAATATTTTGTGTCTCAGATTTGTAACTCAGCTTCTGTCAGTTTTCAGTGAAAAATAAAATAACCCACAGGCAAAACCAGTGGTATAAATAATGATGCAGAGTGTGAGATTTGCATTTGGACACATCTGTTGGGGTCCCATAATCATGTTGGCATTACTTTCCATGTACTGTCCCATTCTCCAGAATCTCAACTTTAATAACAAAAAGGTTAAGCTATTCTTGTAGAAAGATGATGCTGGGGCTATGCCTACACCAGTGATTCTCAGCAAGAAGATGCCATGGCCTCCTTGTTGTAGCCAGATCCTTTGAAGGATGCCATGAGATGTGAAGAGGTGATCCAGGTATGAGTAGGTAATCAGATAAGCACAGACTCAGGCCTGCCCCAGCTCCAATTCCCCTCCATCCACTGCCTGGCCCCTCTGCAAACAGGTAAGTACTACAGGATGTAAAATTGTTTTTGAAATAGCTGCCACTCAATTCATAAAAGTTATTGAGGAGTGCCTCAAGTCCAAAATAGTTGAGGACTACTAGCCTAGCACCATGGCAGCAGAGGGTTCAGTCACACCACTGAAGAAATAAGACTGGCCCACCCACAATGTTCCAGTGCATCAACCTCATAACTGAGCTCAAGATCAGGGTTTCTGGTGTATTCAACAGCAGCATCTTGAAGCACCCCTTCCAATTCTGACTGCCTTAAATCTAGGATTGATAAATCCTGCCCATCTACTCTTGCTGCACAGTTATTTCCACAAAAGCATGACTGAGTTTTTTGCTACTTTAGCAAAGACATAACTTATGCTTGCTAATAGAATCTACGTTGAACCTAGAATAGCAGCTCTGAGAGATCTGCCATTCTCTCTTCTTAGAAGTACACTAACTCAGCAATGCTATGTTTGCAGTAAACCTCTCCTGAACAACTGCACAACCTAGAGGGACTGGCGTGGTGCATTTATAGGAGGGTCTCAAAAGAGCATCAGCGCCTTCCACAGCACCCATCTGGCCTTTTGTATGGAACATATATGATATAAATGCCACAATTACTCTTGTGTGGCAGAGCTGTTAATGTGTGTGCATGTAACAAGTTAAGGTCAGGAGTGGTAAAACCAGCCATGGCATTGGAGTTCAAATGAGGGAGGGAAGAAAGATTTTATTCAGTGAAAATTCATTTTACCAAAAGAAATAAAGCTTCCTGCAATTAGGATTTCCTCTCCTTCCAGGACAGCTTGCTCCTGTTACTGTTCTCTGAGAGTCCATATTTCACACCAGACAACTGAGGCAAATACCTTTTATCCCAAAGGCACCTCCTCTGCTCAGGGGCATGGTAAAGTGTACTTTATTTTATCCCTCTACCACTATCCAAAGACTGCCTTTGCATATTTTTTTATCAAGTCAGTGTTACAGATCATCATGTTCAGAATTTCGGGAGACCAGCAGATCACAGGGATCCAGACAGTAGTTGACTTTCCTCCTTAAAAAGCATTTGTTGTACAGCATGAGTGTTTGCAAGAGAAAGCACTGCCTGAGCAGACATGAATTTGTGCTGCGTAGCTGAAAGTACTAGCTCTGACTGCGTCTTACAGCCTCTGAAGCTCTGCTCTTTGATTGCCCTTGAATGGATTAAAACTGAACACCTATTCAAAATGTTACCATTGGGGTATATTATGAAGCTTTTACTGAAATTTCCTCAAGGAAAATTTGCTGTCAATGGAAATTTTTCTCCAAGTTACATTTTCAGGCTACAATAATTAAACAGGCAGTACAATACTTCACAATACTAAAGCACTGAGGGTCTCATGTTAATGAATTAGCCTCCCAGCACCAACTGACAAAAATATATCCCAGCTAAGTGGAGAGCAATGTGCTGAAGGTCACATAAGACTAAGGAATAAATTGTAGATGTCCTGTCACTCAGCCCTGTGCATCAACCATTAGTCCACACATCTATAGAGAATACACATGGAAAAGAGGTGAGACAAAGACCTGTCAATGAGAGGAACTGCATTGGAGTCTGTAAGCTAACGGGTGAGGACTAGTAAGGTTATATAAAGGGGTGAGGACTAGTAAGGTTATATAAAGGGATGTGGGTGGGGGGATCACCCCACTAAAAAAATACTCCCAAAGCTTTAGGGTACATGCTTGTGTCAGAAATGAATGTGACTTGTGTTTTCATTTTACTGAGTATCTACCATAGGGCTTTCCTTCATGTTTAAATTATGTGATGCAACATAATGCCAGCAGGTGCTTTCCACACTGAAAAACGATCAGAGCAGAAAGTGTTTGGACTCCCCGCACCGCCCCCAGCCCTTGAAGTTACCATGTAGCATGCAAACCAGCTCAAGGAGAATTCAGTGCAGTTCTGGCATTGGGTAATTTTTTTTGCTTGGCTGTGCAGAAATAAATAAATGGGCACTGAAAAAGAGAGCAACCTCTATTTTACTGATGTATACACAACAGTAGGACTTCGACATTTGTGACAAAAAAGGAATAATCATCATGCGAAAGAAAGGGAAATGCGCCTTAGAGGTCATCATGGAAAATGGTCAGTACAAACACAAAACCAAATATTTATTTTAAACAATGTGTGCATTACTTGATATTTCTCAAAATTGTATATTTGATATTCTTCTCCTGTAGGGAACTTCTAGTAACTGGCTTTCAAAATTCAGAGAAATAGTAGGGACTTCTAGCTAGTTAAAATAATGTAATACATAATTAAAAAGGGCATTTTCACTCCTCAGTCAGTAGTTAAGAGCTACAAGTATAAAATATTGTATGTAAAAACCCCACTGACCAATTCAATTATTCATCATTCTTTGTCTTGCAGTTGGAATGGAGGTTGATGGACAAGTGCAAAGTGACCCAGAAAGCGAAGGTAAAGGGGAGAGGAGAAGCTGTAGTCTTATTTGGAAATACAGATACAAGACTAAAACTTTGTCTGCTGAGATTCCCTTGATGGGTTGTGATGTGTTGCACACCACCAGTGGTTCTGATGAGAAATTCAGAGCAAAGTCAAAAAACTAGAGGTACACTGATATATTGCTCCATATCACATCAGTACCTATAAAAGGAAAATTGACATCATCAGCTTTTATTGGCCAGTGTAGCTGATAATGTCACCAATAAAACGCATGTGCATGCATGTAGCCACAGCATGCACGTGGCCAAGAATGCAGCCCGGTGTCTTGGAGAGCAGCATCCAGCTGGTAAATCTGTGGTGGGGAACGGGCATGGGGGAAGGAAGGGGCATGGGGGGGCAGATGGAGGCTCCCATGATGAAGGAGAGGGTGGGACTGTGGCAGGTATAAGCACTGCTCAGCTGGGATGGAGCAGTTTGCAGGACATTGCTGAGGACAGCTTGTCCAGGGGCTGCGGTGGGGTGGGGAGCGGGGGCAGCTCCCTGCCATAGCGCGCAGCCCTGAGGAGGCATGGGGGGACATGTGGTCCCCAGACTTGTGTGTGGGGTGAGGGCAGACTGCCTGTTGCAGGCTCGGGGCCACGGGCTGCACTGGCCTCTTCCCGGCAGGGCTGGTAGGGCTAGGGCTATGCTCAGGGTGTGTGGGGGTGGAGGCTATAGTGTGGGCTACAGCCAACCCAGAATTCCCTGTAGCCCCATCCATTGCTACCACTCCCACCACCACCCCCACCCCCCTGCCAGGAAGATGCTGTTGCAGCCCCTGGCCCCAAGCCTGCAGAGGGCATCCTGCCCTTGCCCCATGCACAAATCCAGGGGGCACATGCCCCACATGCCTCCCCCAGGGATGCATGTAGTGGCAGGGTCCATACCCTCCCGTGCCCCCTAGATGAGCCACCCATGGTTCTATCCCATGCCCTGCCCCAGCTCGGCAGTGCCTGCCCCTGCCCCTTCCACTGCCCCAGCCTCATTCCCTCCCTCACCATGGGGTCCTCTGTCTGGCTCCCCCCACACCCGTTCCCCACCACAGACTGATCTGCCATATGCTGCTTTCTAAGCTGCAGGGCTGCATATCAGCCAGTATGGCTGGGTAATAATGGGCTATAGGTATCGGCAAAAATTTTTTTTTATTAGTGCGTTAATAATGGGCCATTGGTATCGGCAAAAATTTTTTTTTATTAGTGCACCCCTAAAAAACACACTTTGCTTTATTAAAAAAATTCCAGATATCCACCTACACAAAAAAACTTATTATTTTGAGCTCTCTGCTAGTTTTGACCTTTTCATCAGTTTTTCTCTTGTTATGCCACTGAATACAGGAGAATCAGTTATGTCCAGAGGTTTTAGGGCTATTTTTTCCTTGTCTTTTTTACCCTTCACTTTTCCATCCACAAATCTATCTTCTACAAATTCCTCCAAATAATAATCCAAATAGAACTAAAGCTTCATATTTGCTTTAATCACTCTGTAATTTTTCAATAGCTGGAAAAGTTATAAAAAGTTATTGATAGGGATCTACTTAAATCATGGAGCAACGAAACAATTTTTGTGGGTTGATCATGATATAAATAGCACATTCTGTGGGTATTTCCTGGATGTGCTTATATATGATACACAACAAAGCAAATTATATGTAGAGTTGTACAAACTAAGTTTAGAAATACTAATTTATGTTAATCTTAGTAAAAATCCATTAAGGTAGGCTCCTATGCACTGGCAGGGGAGGAGGGACGAAGGGGCAGCCACCATCTTGTGTGTAGGTGGATCCAGGTGGAGTAGCCTTCAGTGAGGTGAATGCTGCCCTTTGTGCTACCTTGCCAGCTGGCACCTCCTCTTCCCTTTCCCTCTCCCTCCCCCCCCCCCCCCCCCCCCCCCCCGGTGGGGAACATTT